ACCCTGAAGCCTTGTAAACCCAGAGCGGAATGCCCAGAGGTCTGGCCTTCTTTGTCTTCTTTTTCACGGAGACATCCTTGTCCTTCGAGTACCCGAGGACTCTTAATGTAGTTACATGGTCTGTTCATATGAGCCCTTAAAAAAGAAACCTCTTATACACTGCTTATATATTCCATACATATTAAGGGATCTTACTTCAGGACCATTTCAATGAGGTAAGTACTATGTTACGGGCCCATGAAACTGCCCTTAGATGGATCCCTCTATTTGGGAGACTATATAGGCAGGACTCTTAGTTTCGTAGATCCATCATAGAGGAAGTTGGGGGGATTGGAATTTGTAAAGCGACAGGGTTTAGGGTTTAGGGTCTGGGGTTTGTGCGGTTGTCTTAGAAAGCCCCTAGCCCTAAACCCTAAACCCTAAAGCCAGGTCCCTCCTTGCATGCGTCCTTGGCACCATTGTTTGCTTTGTCCTCATAGTTTTCATCCTTCACACGTGTCCCAGGGATGCTGGGCTTATCCAAGGGTAGTTACATGGGTGTAGGTTTTAGGGTTTCGGGTTTAGGGTTTAGGATTTAGGGTTTAGCCCTTAAACCCTAAAACCTCAGACTTGACCTATCTAAATCTGAATGTAAAATCCTTAAACCCGAAACACTGAACCCCTTGTAAACCCAAGGCTAAAGCAATAAAACCATAAACCCCAAACCCTTCTATTCTGAATGTTCATCAAAGGAATCGGTGCCTCGTAGGGTTTATGCTAAGTCTTGTGCTTCTCATCCTGTCAGGATAGGTTAGGAGTAGAAAGGTTTCGGGTTTATGGTTTTAGTTTTTTAGCCCTGGGGTTACAAGGGATTCAGTGTTTCGGGTCTAAGGATTTTACATTCAGATTTAGATAGGTCGAGGCTGAGGGTTTAGGGTTTAAGGGCTTTTTTAGCTGCCGTTCAAGATTTAGGGCTTAGGATATAGGGTTTATGGTCTGGGATTTCGAGTTTAACCACTAACCCTAAACCCAGCGCACCTGGTCGTCGCATTCATAGCTTCTGTCGTCCTGCCAGGATAGTTTGGTGTTGTTCTGTGACTGCGAAGGTTCGGGATTTGGGATTCAGGGTTTTTATATCTATATTTATAAAAGTTTAGGGTTTGGAGCTTTAGAATATTTAATTAAGTTTAGAGATTTTTAGTCGTCTTTCCTACTCTTACAGGAGTCACAGCCTGCAGTAAACCCTAAAAACCCTCAACAATCTTGTAAAAGAACAAATTCCAACGACACGCCAAACCCTTTTTTGACACAAGCAAATAATCACTGAAACCCCTTCAGTCTTCCTATCCCCCACTGCTTAATACGGAGTAACAATGCGCGCTGAGAGCACTCGCTACTCGCGCTCAAGATTGTCATCGAATGTCCTTGTAGGCTTTGCGCCACGGCCTTGAGTATCTGGCCCAACTTGCCGGAATGCGACATGTCTTGGCCTGGGTGGGTTTAGATTTAAGGGTTCAGGGTTTAGGGTCTCGAGTTGAGGGTTTCGGGTTTAGGGTTGTCTTAGACTAAAGCCTGCAAGCGACCCTGGAAAACTAGAGAATGTAGATGCCGGAGCCTTAGGCTGGAGCCTGCAGACGCTTTGGAAACTAGAAAGTGCAGAGGCCGGAGCCTTAGACTAGAGACTGCGGGGAACGCAGCTTCAGAAAAGAGCCTGCAGTGGCTCTCAAAAACTAGATTGCAGAAGCCGAGACCCCATACTACTGCGCCAGGACGAAAGTTCGTCGCATCGAGCACTTACGCCAGCATGTACGTGCAAACCCCCCACCCCCATAGACTCCTCCACAAGATGTGTCTCTGGGGCGCGGAGGATTTAAAGTCCTCCGTCGGAGCAAAAGAGTAATATATGTTTAAAACAGCGCGGAAATTCCTCCGCTGGCTAGGCCACAGAAAATGCACTTCCGTGTACTCCGAGTCCTCCACTAACGCAAGATACGCAAGTGCGACAAAACTTTCTTCCTCCGGATGTAGAGCCTGCAGGGCCTGTGGAAAACTAAAGACTGCAGAGTTTCGGAGAACTAGAGACTAAGCGCCAGGCACGCTTCGAGCCGAGCAGAAGTTCTGGTTTCCAGATTTGCACAGCCATCTTGAGCCAGCTCAGGGGTTTTCCACTTGAGCCAGCTTTCGGGAGGCTTAGGGGTTTTCCACAAAGCTCCGCATAGGGTTTAGGGTTTATGGTTTAGGGTTTAGGGTGCACATAGCCGTTTCCTCACGTATCTAGGGATTTGCACACCATTTAACCAGGTTGAAAAGAGCCAGGCTGGCTCTGTTTTGAATTTAGGGTCGGCACGAGACACCGCCCAGCTAAAATGGTGGCGTGCTGACCATGTACATGCAACACCTCGACATGTGCCCTTCATAGTTGTACCTCTAGCTGAAAAGGGGGTGCGCCAACCTCCCAAAGCTCTGGGGTTGGTTTTCTCCATCTGCAGACACTCGTCGGTGCAGACTCCTTTTCACAAGCCATACCAGACCATGAACCCCCCCCCAAAGCAGCAGTCTAAACTTGAAGCGGAAGTGTGCTGACCTGTACCTAACCCTTGCCCAGCACACCCATTCCATCCGGGCACTAACTGAAATGGGCTCACGGCTGAAAAGGCTGCACCCTGAGGCTATTTCACTGCGAGGTCAAACCCACCCATTTTACAGATGCTGAGGCAGCCGGTATCATGCACCTAGACTTGGGTGAATATGTCACGTTTCTTGCATCCGCTGCTGCGTGAGCTTGCACGCACACGAGTTTGAAATTCAAAGCTCCTTCTCCAAGTATATCGATGGGAGATGTGCATGATATCTATATAATATCAACACATACATGTATGAGAGAGCCCAATGTATGGAATTTATCAACGCATAAAGCGTTAAAAAATGTGCACTCGGAAAGGTATATAAAGATCTTATATATATATATATAGATATCATATACATATATGTTTCTTTCCTACCTTCGGTGTGGGGTTGTTAGATTTTAAAATCAACTCTTATCCTCGCCCGGTCTACTCCTCACTCGTCGCTCATCCCTGGAGTGCCCCACGCCAGAGTCTCGCTGGAGTGCCCGAGGCCAGAGTCTCCCCGGAGTGCCCGAGGCCACAGTCTCCCTGGAGTGCCCAACGCCAGAGTCTCCCTGAAACGCCTAACGCCAGAGTCTCCCTGGAGTGCCCAACACCAGAGTCTCCCTGAAGTGTCCAACGCCAGAAGTCTCCCTGGAGTGCCTAACGCCAGAGTCATAGCTTCAGGCAATCACTTGCTTCACTTGCTATGGTGGGCGGTCCTTCTTTTTCACTTCGCACAGGCTGCCAGTAACTCTACTTCCATCCCCTTACCACACTCGCCTCTTCAGTGCAACCTGGAGTATCCTCTGCAACCGGTTCATTTTTCCTGGATCTTCTCCAACGGAGTCTCACGCCGCGAACACTTGCACTGATGTTACAAGAACCGTCAGCTGCATGCCGGATCTCTTTGGTCAAACGCAGACTTGTTTATCTCGAAAGCAGAAATATCTCAGTCTCAGTGCACACTATACTTGCAACTGTACAAAAAAATACGAAGCAGTCGCAGGTCTTAGTTCGTGCTCTTGCGACCCGGCGCTGCGCAGTGTGTTGCGTCTTCGCACCGTCAGCGGGGTAACATGCACCTTTTTCTTAACTTCTTTGTGCACTGAAGCTGGTCGCTTGGCGATCCAGCGCTGCACAAGGACCTCTTCTTTCGCTCGCATTTTCGCGAGAGGCAAGTAGCCCTTGCGTTGCTTGCCTGGGGTCCTTTGTTCTGCACACCATTTCAACCAGTCCGCATCCGACCACAGCGAGTTCTGCGTGGCTCGGGCAAGCAGTACACTCTCAGAGGTAATGCTTGACATAGGATGCTGGCAGGCCAAATGATGTGATAAAATCTTAATGTAGAGATAATACCGCAATTTCAGTGTCAACGTCGACCTGTGCATTGCATTAGTGGATGTGTTCCAGGAGTTCAACTCCGCATGCAAGGCCTCGTTGCTAGACGTGCCACTGGGTAAAAAAGGAATGTACTCTGATGGACAACGCATTCGGACGCGCACGTTGTTCATCAACCATTCTAGTCTATCCGGAGCACAGGCTGACCACAAAACTCGGTAAACTTCTTTATTGGCACCGGTGACCTTTCTCGAGACCTCCTCGCAATGCAGTGCGCAAATCGCAGACACGGAGAGAATGAACTCCAATCTTGTGTGGAACGGCACAGACGTGTCAATGTTGGCCAGGATTTCTTTTGCGCGATCGCGGGGCATCCAAGGCGGTAGAACTCGTTGTCTTGCTTCTTCCTCCTCTGCGTTAAGCGGCTCAGAGACTTCCCCAATAAAAAACTCACTTGTCCAATCTGTCGATCCTAATGGACAGCGAACAGTGAATTTGTTCAGCAGGCGCCGGAGAGTTTTGGATCCTGTGGTTTTTTTGTTCCACTGTGCGTACTCATACACAATGGCGAGATGTACCGGATCCAGGCACATTGCTTCCATGTTGGGGCAGACACGTTTCAACTCTTTGTGGAATTTTGGCGACGGTGAATCAGATGCCACGTACTTCATCATGAGGAGTTGAGATTCCGAGAATGCTTGCTCCAGCGCCTCCACCACGTGCTCCGATTTCTCCGAAATGAGCGGATGCATCAAGAGGACGGCTCCTGAACGACCTCTTGCGGTGAGCAAGCGTCGCCAGGCGATCTCGTCGCCAAAGGGCGCCGCATCTCGCTTCGACTTTTCTGCCCTGTAAGATTCTTGACCTTTGAGCTTCATGCAAGTCTTCAGGGTTGCGTCCAGACTGACATAAAACCACTCCTGGTCAAGTTCTAGCTGCGCCATCATGGACTGCATCTTGCGGGAGAATGCATCAGAGAATGCGATGTCTTCCAAGAGTGGGAGCCAGTATCGAACATGCACCGGCAACAACGAGGAAAGCTTGTTGCGGTGGACATGAGCAGAAATATGAAATCTAGCTGCCAAGCTCTTGACCTGAAGCAAAATCAAAAACTAGTAAAGCTACTGTTGAAGTTTGGCTGCCTATGTTCTAATGAAATAGATACTAATCCATACTACCCGGAGCATATGAAAACGCAGATGTTGTCGAGGCACACGCGCTCTCTGCAGGATCATTTCCTGCATCACCAGGTCAGCGAAGCTGTGGTCATAGTAGATGTTGCGAACACGTCGAGCCATGTGCACGTCACCGATGCTGCGCAGGTTGACGTAAAGAGGACCCGACGCCGTCAAAACCAAGCGAATTGTCTTGTCCACGTGGCTGAGTGTACATTCCAGGGGAGGCTCGATGCTGGCACGCATGACATCTGCACTTTCCTGTAAGTACCTCGATTCTTGTGTTTGCCTGGCAGCTGCGAAGTCATACAGCGCCAGAATTATTTTGACTTGCTTCGTGCCGGAGCACACGAACTGAGCAGATCGGACGTGATGCTTTTCGATGTGAGTTCGCAAGTGCCGCAACTGTCGGAAGGATCTAAATGGACAGAAAGGGCATAATCTGCGGCCCTCCCTTCTGATGCTATTTTTGCAAAGGTCTTGCTTGACGTCTGCTACTTCTCTGGCCATTGCATCTAATATCCCATCCGAAACACTCGCCAGTCCGTCTTCCTCCACCCAGAATGTCGCGGATCGAGTCTGCGAGTTAGACTCAGAGTGCTGGCTGCAGGACTCATCATCACTGCTGGCACCGGCCTCCAACTGAAGTAAAACGACTTGCATTTCTTGCTTGTCCTGGTGCTTCTTCTGCCAGAAACAAGCAACGGTGCTTGTGTCGGTGCCTGCGCTTACAGCGTTTTTGAAATCTTCGATCCCCAGCTTATACAGCTTCGAGCCGTCGAAGACTGACACCTGACTGCCATCAGTATTCATTTGCGCTGCAACACAGTGTGGTCTGCCGTTGTTTTCTGCATGCAAAAGGAAAGTCTTCACGTGGTCCGGAGGCAGTCCCGCACAGCTGCACAAGGAAATCCCTAGATCGTCGGCAAGCGCACCATACTTGAGATATCTTGGCTGGTGTTCGGTTGCTTCTTCTTGCATCTTCTTCACCAATGTTTCAACTCCGGATCTAATGCCGCCAAATGCATGCCACATGGCGCAAGGAATACAGTGTCCTTCTCGGCACAAAAGATCCGGAACCTGACGAGCACCCGCGTCAGACTTGACCGCGTCACGGATACACTGGAAAACAGTCTGCGGCTGCTTTCTAGCGATCTCGACGTCAAAGCCAGTGACGTCGAGAATGTGTTTCCGACAGCCATCAATGAATTCACCCAAGTCGGGCGCGACATCCGCGCTGACGCGCACACCATCAAAATGCAAAGATATATGAGCTGGCCTCGCATGGGAAATATGAGATGTCCAAACATCCAGTATCCAATCTTCAATACATGTCCACATGAGACTGAATATGGTTGCACTGGGGTAAGTTTTGCTTGCCACATCTGCCAGAGACAAGTAATCAGCATGCAGCACATTGCAAGCGATCCATCTCAAATACAAAGACAGCCTTTGAAGTTTCTTGATGTCTTCGTTGTCTTTCAGGCTGTCCGGCGCGGCCCCGCCGTTCAGCATCTTGTTGATCAGCTGCTTCCCTTGCGACGTAGTGAGGCCCAGACGCCGAATGACAGTTTGTCTACTGCGAGCCAGATCGTCGAGAAACGTCTGCAAGTCAGTCGGCAAAGCGGGTGTCGGTTGAAGTTTTGCTATTACCTGATGAACAATGGACACGCAGCAGTTGCAAATATCCAAATCGACAGTGTGACCCTCTACAACCTGGGACTGTAGTCTTCGAGACATGCTTTGAGCAGCATAGGCTTCTGAGTACCTCCTTGCTCGCACGGAAAACTGAAGATCATTCGAATAGTGGTATTGCACTTCCTTGCTCACACGAGTTGGACTTGCATCATCAGCAAGTTGCTTTTCTTCGGAAGTCTTGCCCATAAGTCTTCGCTTTTGTCGACGCACAGGTTCAGACACCGCAGCCAGCTTGTTGATTGTATTTTCATGGGAATTCAGCTTATTGAGCGACTCCTTGATTGCCTTGACATTACTCGCGTCTGCAGCGGTTTTTCTACCGGCTTTCGTAGTGGACGAAGGTTTCAAGCACTGCTGAAAAAATGATCGCAGAGTGTCCGCATTTCTTGCACGGGAAACGTGCTGGAAGGCATATTCCTTTAGCTTCGCAATGTCGTGCTCTTCTGTGAAGGTCATCTGCTGAGCATCCGCATTCTTCTTGCATATATCATGGAGCTGCGTCTTGAACTTGAACTTCGGAATGAGAGCACCTGCCTTTTTTTTGCTAGTCTTGTGCTTCACCAAAGCCTCCACGAACAGTTCTTCTTGTTGCAGTTGGTCCCATAACTGATCCTTGGGAAAATTCGGAACTTGCACGTCTTTCATTGATGTATTTTTGAATGTATGATACGTCAGAGTTTCAATGCAAGAATCAGACATCTTCCTGAGCCAGAACTCCAGCAAATGTTGCCACGAACTTTCCTTGTCATCTGCATTCTTGTCGTTGCCCTCGTCGACGTTCACGACTGCCGCAAGTCCTGCCTCTGCCTGTTCGTGACGCTGGCGTACAGGCAGACCGCAGGCCGTACGTAAAGTGTCTTCCGTCAGGTACCGGTCCCCTCCATTGGCATAGTCCTCGATCAGCTGGTAGCACGTATCCTTGCTGTGACTTTCTTCGAAAGCCCATTGAAATCGCAGTCCGGCAATAGAAGCTTGCGATGTTGCAAGGAACTTGCTGAGAGTAGGATCGCTCTCGAATATGCCATCCTTTTCGTGATCTGGATAATTTTTCAGAAACTGTTTGTGAACGAATCTTGCCATGGGCTTCCATATGAAGCCTCTTCGCAGCATGGAATTGAAATTCTCCAGGGTCACACCAAGAAATGCCATGATGCGATTGACTTCCAATCTCTTCCAGCCAGTCACGGAAAACATTCGTGTTGTATATCCATACGGCTTTCGCCCCATTATTCCGTCGGCGGACATTGTTTTCTTGTAAAGGTCTGTATGCAGCTCCTTCGAAGACTCGGGCGCTTCCTGTCCAGTAATAATGAAACAACGCGCGAAAGACTCAATTTGTTTCCGTAACTCTTCTTCCTGATGCCAGATATTAGGGTCAAAGAAAGCGTGATTGTGTTTGTACATTTCAGCCAGATGCTGTGCCCAAAAAGTCTGCGTGTAGAAGCGCTCGAGTCTCTCTTCGTTGCTGCGCATAACTGGATCTAGCAGGGGATGTGGCACGTGCACGTAGCAGTTGTTTGCAGAACCCTTCACAACTCTTTCTACCGGAGACGAGCGATCAGCCAGATCATACGCAAAGCAAATGTCTTCGTAACAAATAGCAGGGCGACGTTCGTCCTCCGTTTCACACCATTCCACGATAAGGGCGACCATTCTGGTGTGCATAAACTGCTGTTTCAATGCGAATGAGAGTTTGAATGATCTGTCAGCAAGGTCCTGCGTCCAAGAACTTGAGCTTCCGCCGTTATTGTTCTCTTGCATATGATCCAGGTCGCCGTCCTCTCCTTCCGGATTGTCAAGTCTGGCGTCGACGTCGATGTTGCCCGGGCGTCGCGCCGCAGCACTTGTACAGGAAGCAAAGAAGTCATCATCAGAAGCGAAATTTTGACGATCTGCCATAATGGCATTGGCGAGCGCATCTGCTTCTTTGCGCACCGTGTCTCGCAGTCTGCGAAAAACACCCTCCAGAACGTTGAAGAAAAAGGAGACACGGTGCAGAACTGCCTGGGAAGGTATGCCAGTGAAGGGCAGGAAGCTTCCGTCGTCGTTGTAAATGTAGAGAAAACCTTTGTGTACCCGGATATGTCGTCCGCCTTCAATCATCCACGCAAGCGCAGCCACGTCCGCCAGCATAGGTTTTTCCGGTATTCTGCCTGACGCCATCGATGCAGCAACGAATATGATTCGGCGCAAATTCTCGCTTGCATTGGGAAATCTCGCTGTCAAAGTGTTCAGACTGGAATCCGTATGCACTCTGATGTAGTTGCCTTGTCGTACATCTGGCTCATAAGCGTCCAGCACGGATGATGCCTTCTTGCTGCTTTTCGAAAAAAATCGCTGAAAAGCTTGGCGGAAGAGTCAGCACCGGGCAGCAAGCGTCTTTTTTTCATGGCCTGCGGGACTTCTTCTTCCTCGTCTTCGACAGCCTCCACGAGATCCGTGATGGTGCCTGTTGGTCGTAGTGGTCGAATCGCGTGTGAATCTGGCTGCGATTCACGCTTACTGGGAAGAACAACATCAAATGGAATTGTCGACGGCAGTTCACGCGCAGCAGATTCAGACTGCTTCGCGTGTTTGCCGTCCACCGAGGGCAACAGTGCGGGGTCATTCTCGATGTCCGGCTCGTGCTGCTCGTCCTGATCCGACTCGAACTGCTCCAAATCCGGACCAGAAGTTTTGCTAGCAATTCTTTCTGGACGTCTGCCGGACATAAGTGTACTCACGATGCCCTGCATATCTGGAACGTCGTCCACAAAAGGTTCTCCGGAAGCATCCGGCGCCGTGGACACCACCGTCATACTCTTGACTTCTTTTGAATAATATTGTGTGAGAATCCACTTGTAAATATTCAACTGGAGCCGGTAATGCTGTCCCTGACAGTCCGGGACGAGCGACAGAGGACCCAGCATGCGCCGTCCATAACTGTTATATTTTGACGGCAGCTTTGGCGATCTTTTCCAGTCCACAAGCAAGAGCTTGTTGTCATCCTCGTCTATAAACACTGCATCGATCGAGCCTGCTAGGTCCTCCTGCTTCGCATGAATAACCCATTCAGTACGATAGATTCGCAGCTTCGGAAATTCGTTGGCCATGTCACAGAGAAATCGCAAACACATCGAGAGCTCCCTTGACATGCAGCCGGGACGGATGTCGAAACCGTTCAACGCGTGCTCGAACATCGCGTGCATCCAAGTCCCAGCTGTGCAAGCTCTCAAGCTGTTGCAACTCCATGCTTTCAAAATTTCACCATCAGTAAGCACAAATTCTTTTATTAAATCTTGCCAGCAGTGAACATGGTCTCTGAGCCTCTGTACCTCTTGGCAGAGCTGTTCCTTCGTAGTGGCTGCGTTTTCCAGCATTTCCATCAGGCTACCAACTACATCCTGCGAGCATGCACTGAGCAGGGCTCTGATGATTCCGACGTTGTACTCGCTGATCATGTACTCCGGGCGCGGCCAGTTCCTGCTGCTTTTCATTTTCTCTATTGCAACATCCGGCTCGAACTCTTGCGCGTAGGAATGAATCAAAGTAGTTACCTGCCCGACTGAGTCACCTCTCTGATCACTTACATTATCCTCCTAATTCTCAAACACAAAATGGTCAATACCAAGCAAAGCAAAATATATGCAGGATGCGCTGGTGTCGATTTTCTTCTCGTCGAAGAAATACACGTGGCCGTTAGGCTCGAACCGTATTCTAGCGTCGAGCGGATGCGAGTTGATCTCCGCCAAGGCAGTGCAAGGTGACAGCTCCTCCGGACTCGAGGTCTGGGGATCTGCGGGAAGTACAAATATCGGATGTCTCGGTTTGGTCAGGCCAAGTACGCTTCCCACAAGGTCAGGAAGTGGCCGCTCCCACCAACCTCGGCTCGTCTTCGGGCTCATCGTTCGTCAAACAAAACTGACGTATGAACTTGCACATACTTTTTTGCGCTTTTCGGCCAGAATATGAAATAATTATGATTCACCATGCGCAAGTCACTGCCGAAGGCGGAACTCCCATCAGACATTTCGACTACATCCATGGCATCCGATGATCCACCACAGTAGTCCTGCAGGCAATAGACTTGGGGCCGCAGCACGCTAATAACAAACATTCGGGATTTTACTAGAACGACAGGTCAAAGGAAGTCTTCAAACAAAACTACGGCCGAAGTTCACCCACTCTCCAAACATTTCTTTACTGGAAAAAAATCAGTGCAAATGTTGTTAATTTAAACCAGCCACAGAGGCAGGACTTTCCGTCACCTGTGGCGAAGCTGACATCGATGGACGGTCCTGAGCTGCGTACTTGCTGTGCGCGCGCAAACAAAGAGGCACTATATCAGCTGAATGAATAAACACCAAACCGAATGTAAAATTGACTCAGACAGCAGGTTTTCTAAACTGGCGTGTCGTCGAGGCTTGCTTGACCTTTCCGATAGCGCAGCTGCCAGTCGAACATGCACTTCCAAGGCAAATTTCAGGGCTGTCATTCTCCATTCTCTAGCAGATACCGCAGCGGCTGGATGAGGAAAACTCTGCATGAATTGTCTTTGCTCAGATGCAAGTTTCTGCGCGTGAGCGTGGATGTAGTGGTAAAGAATTACGTCTTGACGCTGGTGCAGCATGTCCACTGTGTTCCTTGCGCGGCAAAGCAAAGTTTCCCATTGTTTTTTTGCCATGTTAGGTCGCTCAGCTGGGTGCGGCAACAAGTAAACCGCCAGAGGCATGTCAGCGAACACATCGGCATGCTGGCTTAGTAGCCTGTCCACGACCATGTGTGACTTCGATGTGAGGCTGCTCTGCGGCGGCACACTGCAGCCGTCGTGCGTGTCTGCAGGCAAATACGGAGCATTCTCCTGTCTCAAGACAGTCAAGGCAGAAAAAAATGAGTCGGCGCGAGGCGGCACATTGCCAATATCTCGGTAGAGCGCACCTACAGAACTGCTGCCGCCTAAATAATCTCGCAGCTGTGCAGGACACACAGGACACATCCTATCCGGAGACTGCTGCACGTGTCGATGGCAAATCCAGGTCGAACATGTCTGGCAGACACAGAAACGTGAGGTTGTAATGCATCGAGTCTGCGAACATATGCCACATTTGACTGTCGCTGTGCGAAAAAGCGGAGACGGTCTGGAGGAAACGCGTGGCAATGCATTAGCTTGGCTTGCTCGCTGAAAAGTCCAGATGAATACTTCAGCCAGCGGAGGCGCTATCTCCATGCCGTCCGGAGTCGTGCTGACCCTGCTGACACCCACGCCATTGAGCGCGACCTCAAGAACATGACTGCTCCACTCCAATTCAAACTTGTTGGGCGTGTTGGGGAACAGTTGGTGGCGCTCACGTCCGCGATGGGGGCGAGGCATTTCGCCGTTCAGGCCATAGGACCACGTGGTGTTGTTTCTAAATAAGTTGTCTATTCTGCAGTAGGACTGCTTGGCGCCTCTCCACTCGCGGACACCCAAGTAGAGTCCGCACACAGAAGGCGGCAGCACGACGTCGAAGATGGCTCTTCCCATGAGCGGTCCTGCGGAACGGAAGCCGCACATGGTAGTGCCGGCGCCGGGAGGTATGTGAATGCGTTCGAGTGGAGCACTGACATAGACATTGTTCGGCATCGTCGTGAAAAGACAAAGCTGTCTGCATCGAACTGTCACAGCACTTGCGATGCTGCAGACTGGCAAGATGGAATTCAAGACCGAGCGATCGTGAAACTCAGCGTCATCCAGATAGATCACTCGGTTCCGCCATCGACGTACGTCCCTGACAATGTCCCTCAGTGTTGGACATGTCGCTGCCAGAACCTGCAAATGTGAAGGCGAAAAGTAAAACAAAGTTAGATCTCGCATGATGTCCAGTGGAAGGCTTCCTCCCAGATAATCCGAACTATGCTCGGGCGCATTGTCCTTCACAGGCGGAGGGTCGCCCGACAGGCCTTGGATGACACTGAACCCACCGACGGTTGCTGCCTCCTTCCAGATAGGTTTTTCGATAGTGGAGCCTGGGAGAAGCTCGAAATTTACATGCTCGTGTCCATTTGCGTGAACAGCACCAAGAAATAAAGTGATGAGCATCGGATGGATGCACAAAGGCACGGATATTTCGTGCGACAAGGTGCTGCTGCCCTTGTTGACTCTCACCACGTGCGAAATATCGGCACACTGGACGCCACAAGCCTCACCTAAAGATCCTTGCTTGGCCTTGGTCATGTATGCAATGCAATCGAAATTAGGGTTCTTCGTTCTGCCGCAGGCTGCGCAACGTTGTCGGCTTCTGCACAACGCAATTTTCTGCATCATGGCTTCGCATTGATACAAGCGAACAAAAAGTTCTTCAGTTCGTGGCCAGCGCAGGTCAGACCCGTGCCAGGGAGGTAAAGCAATTTGTGGGGAATCTTCATGACTCGTAATGCGTGCAAGGCAGCAGTTCGGAATCCAGGAAATATCGTCGCATTCTTCGAATGTACATTCTCCAACTTCGATGCGAAATCTGCTGCTGACTGGCTTCACATATCCGTAGGCAATCTGGAGGTAAGACCAGATGCCTTCCCAACTCGGATACGGCAGAAAAGGAACGACAATTCCATCGTCAACGCCGGAAAAACCAATCTCAAACAAACAAAAGTAAATTCTTTGATTGCCAGATGGAAAGAATGGCACCGATAGAAACATCAGCGTTCGCAAAGTCCTGTCAAACGGCACTGCAGGCAACACTTGGCAGCCGAACCTGTCATTGTCGTATGCAGTTGACGCAACATCCATAGGAACCTCCCCTGGCTGGATTGCAATGATGGAGTTGAAGCGTTTCCCGAAAAAGAAGATGCGAGCGCGTCGAACTGTAGAACAAGCCTGATAAATTGTCGGCAGTTCCACATAGTCCGCCAAAGGAGGAAGCATACCTCCTAGATAATCGCTAGCACGGGCTCGATTCCATCTCCTAAATTCTCTCGGCAAACTCAGAACAGGAATAATTTCATCAAGCAGAAAAACAGCATACTGTTGTTTCTCCAAAAAATTAGACTTTAAGCACTGAGCTGCGACGGTTGTTCCCGAGTCCATCGATTCACCTGCCTGAAGAAGTGTTGCACGCACCATCAATATAGATAAAGATAGGCTTGCTCATTAAACCGGAATGTGTGTGGTGACACCATCCTGCAGGGCGGCGAAGGCAAGGGCATCCGTGAAGCACTCGAGGCTCCGGCGCTAGCAGAACTCCTGAGGCAGCTCTACGTATCCTCTTAATTCTTGTGTATTTCACTGCTTGACGTCAAGTAGCTCGACATCACGGAAAATGTCTGTATGGTTGGCGGACCTCTGGCAGAAAAAAACGGGCGAGCTATGAAGTGGAACGGCGCTGCTAGTGCTCTCCTAACAAAGCAGTCAGACTCTCAGTCACAGCAGTCGTGCCCGAGTCCATCGATTCGCTGGCCTGCCGGTGAGTTGCGCACTAGCATGAATTCGGTCGCACGGGACGACTAAGTACAAGACAACATCGTGGCGTCGGAGAGCCCAGTAGTGGCAGCACTCCTGAGCTTGCTGCACTAGTCTTTTTTTCTTTACTTCCAGCTTTTCTTAGTTTTGGTCAAGCGGCTCGACAGCACGCGGTGTGTTGTTGTCGCTAACTGCATACCTGCAGGCAAATACGCAATTAGCGCAAAAACCAAAACCATTGCGTACAGGATGTCAACTGTAGCAACAATTGCCGTGGCCTGGTCTGACAATCCTGGAAAAGTTCGCAGAGCATCTGCTTTGCGTCGCGCTCAGATTCGGACCAGAAGGCGAATTCCAGATCGGGGACGTACAGCAGTACGTCGCTGCAGCCACGTCGAAATCCAAATCGAGGAAGTAGTGGATGCTGCGGACCCAATACGTACGCCCGATAGGGCAGTTCTTGATCTTCGCACCTGGAGCAAGGATTCTCGACGTATACGGATCGTCGAACCACCGTGAGGCGGCCAGAATCCACGGACCATTCAAGATGCTTGGCCGAAGGCATGGGTTCGAAGGAGCATGAAGGAGGACCTTCAGGGAAGTGCTTCGGCGCCGTGGAGTGTACGTCGTTCTCCTGCTACGCTGAACGTTTTACGGCGCCTTACAAACAAGACTTTCCTGAAACAAAAAGTCTCAAAAAGTCGATCATCAGGCATGTGTAGTCGCAAGGTCCTTCGAAGCAGAGACACTAGCATTGCAATTTGCTTTACGGGTCCGGCGACTCTTGGACGAGGTTGCGCCAGCCTGCGGCATAACTTACATCACGTTAGTCATGCTGAATATGGTGAGCCGGTTGACAGTACTCTTTCACATATAACTAAGCAGGACAACAAGGTTGGCAAGCTATCCTCCAATCGAAAGATGCCTTCGGCTTTTTCCGGATCGATCGAGATCTCTCCAGTGTAGACACAGATCTTCAAAACTGCCTGCGATAACACAAGGCAAGAACGGACACTCGCGAAAATCCATGGAGACGGCTTCATGTGCCTTCAAGTTCGAAGAAAATGTTGCCGGCAACCACTTGTGCCGCTTGTGGGTAAAATTCACGCTGAACCCGGATGCGTCCACGCGGACAGCCAGGAAATACTTATTGAAGGCGACAACATAAAGGCCGGGTTCCGACATGGTCGATGCCACTCGGAGACACTTCCTTATTTTCGTGTTTTTTTTATTCACTTTATTCTTTTCATGTCGTCTGGGATTTAGCTTTGCGGCGAGAACGGCTGAAGGAATGCATTGCCGTCGTGAAGGGCCAAAAAGGGCCCGCTATCCGCGTAGGGGACTTTCACGCCGTGGGCGCGGAAGCAATCAATGAGACAAACATCCTTCAGCTTGGCATCCTCACCTGAGAAGCGTACCAGCAAATACTTCCTTGAGATGTGCTTCGTAAGAAATGTAGCAAAGTTGCTGTCGGTCTTCTTCGTGCGGGACTTGCGATGGAGCACATGATGATGGCCACCTTGCAAGAATGCAAATGAAACCACAAGATAAAACATGACAGTACAACGCAGGCTTGGGGGTAGACGACCGAAGCCCTTGTACCAGCGCGGTCTGGAGATGCGATTCCAAGCACGTGTCCCCTGCGCGGACAGAAAAATTCTTTTTGCTGATTTACACTTAGTCCCAACCTCCGTCAAAGTCTGCGTCTTCGTGCTCGGTCTCATGCGGTCTAGTACGCATTTCGCGAGGTAGTCGCCTAGCAATACACAAGAAGCATTGTGTTTTAGAGAAAACAGAAAGTATATTATTGGAAACTGTCTACTTAGACAGGCCGCATGCGCGAATGAGTGTAGCGTTGTCGTCGAAAATACCGTTGAGGTAGTTCTGCTTCTTGCAGAATCCAGTTGACGTAGACTAGGTACAAGTGTTTGTCGTCATGGTCGTCCACGCATCAACGTCTGCTTGGATAAGTGGCATGTTGCTGAACCTTAGGAAACATATTGCGGAAACTTCAAGTTTGTGTTTACACTACTGCGTGTATCTGCCAGGGCAGCAGCGCGAGCGATGCCCTCAACCTTCCGCAGCCGATCTGACAATTATCTTTAATGACTTGTACAGACTCGACATGGAATGTAAGGCAAGCGCTCCATTTGCGTTAATCTGTCCAAAACGTCGTACTCATCTGATACGAGCTCCACTGGCTGCTTCCTTCAAACCCGTCGCGGCGTCCAACCAATGGTGGCGAGGATTGTCATCATGCAAGACTAGAGGAAGCTCTAAGACACCAACACGTCTTCGGCAATGTCGTCAGTGATGGCGGATTTTTGCTGCCTTCGGTGAAGCTTTTTTTTTCGTCCAACGATCACACAGTACCACAAAAAGCACAGGCAGCAGGCATGGCGACGGAAACGTCGTACTCATCTGATACGAGCTCCACTGGCTGCTTCCTTCAAACCCGTCGCGGCGTCCAACCAATGGTGGCGAGGATTGTCATCATGCAAGACTAGAGGAAGCTCTAAGACACCAACACGTCTTCGGCAATGTCGTCAGTGATGGCGGATTTTTGCTGCCTTCGGTGAAGCTTTTTTTTTTCGTCCAACGATCACACAGTACCACAAAAAGCACAGGCAGCAGGCATGGCGACGGCTGCATCATGCTCCATCCTTTTACTCGACGTGAAGGAAAGATATCATAAGGCGTGCTGACACAAAAAAAAGTCCTGCACCACCGCCCAAGAGCATTCAGATGCCCTGGAGCAACGTCATTTCCACTGATTACTGCGTGCTTAATGTGAACACGCTAAAAAGGACCCGGCATTTGACAAGCTTCTTCTGCTTCTTGATCGATTGCTTCACAGGCCTGATCTGCAGTTAGGAGTGCTTCAGCCTATATCTCTGTAGGTCTTCCACGTGGTCCACGACTTAGGCGTCGTACTCCAGACACTGAGACGGCTCGGCAGTCTGAAGCCTCGAGAAAGATGTATTTTGCTGCTTTCTCAGCGTTGCTTTTCATGAGTGCAGACTGAGCCTAGAGCTGTTTCAAAAAAACGGCAGGCGTGATCACGGCAGTAGACTTCCTAGCGCTTCGGTTGGGCTGTCCGGAGTATGACCAAGTACCAGGAGCACTGGGGCTGCTGCAGGTCAGACCGCCAGCGAGGGACACGCACAACCGGAAAGCCTGTTTGCGCAGCACTACACACGCACGTACATGTTCTTACTTGCTTTGAGAGTGACGTTGCGAGGAAGAAGAATCTGCGGTCGCACTTCTAACCGAGATCCTCAGTTCACGATGATAGCTTCACAATGTCATGCTTCGCGACACGCACAGGGCGTTTGTCTGTATCTAAAAATAACTGTACAGGTCGGGCAACTTCTCATCCTCTTCGTCGTTCAACCAGTGCAAACGAGACCAGCGCAGCATCGGGTCCTTAAAGAAAAATTCAAAATTGATGCTGCGTTCTTGATGGCTGAGGCAGGACGGCCTGATGCTGGTGAATAGTCACGAGTGCAAACTAGCTTCAAAGTTAATAAATGCTCAAAAGTTGAAACTCGGCGAAAACTCGACAGCATGACACCACTGGCACGTACTTAATTATAACATAATGGCATCGCAACCGGCGAAGCATCGGGTCCTCAAAGAAAACACAAATAGGTGATGCGTTCTTGATGACTGAGGCAGCGACGGCCTGGTGCTGGAGAATAGTCCGAATGCAAACTAGCTTCGAAGTCAGTCAATGCTCAAAACCCGAAACTCTGCGGAAATTTCGAAAGAATAGAGACAGCTAGTACGGACTTAATCACGCACACGGCCGGGAAAGACGGCCGTGGGACCATGAAGTTGTCGAAGGCAACCCTTAGGCATGACTCACCCAAGTAAACGCCGCCCTCACAAGGGTTTGCACACAGTCAAAAATGTACGACAGGCATGCCGTTCCGCAGTGAACGCTGCTCCTTACAAGCCACTGACTGCAACACAAAACCATGTGCAGCGCTTGCGCTCCCCGAAGTAAACGCTTGATTTCAGGTTTACACTTAGACGGCGTTGACTGTTTACCTCTTTCTAAACATGCACTTCTCCTCCTTTAATGTCAGCATCTGTTTCCATAGACTTATGTCATCACGAGATTGTACTCAGCATGTACAACTTCTTAGGTATGTATCTTAGAACGCGTTCTTATGACCACAAGCTCCAGCTATCCTGGGAGGTTTAGGTTAAGGGTGCAGTGTTAAGGCATTTGGCCTGACCGACTAGTCACCACGCACGAAGCGGAAACACGACCCAACAGAGGCTGGAGGTACCTAATAAGCGTCAACAGGGACTAGTAGGCGCCAACAGCCTGGGGGCCGATATTTTGGTGTCGCAGCCCAAGACTGCAGAACACATGCAACCAAAGTCGAGCTTTGATGTCTTTGCATGAACAGGAGAACTGCAAGGCAGGGTGAGGAACAAAACCTGCCAGTCCCTGGCCGCTCACTCCGGACGGCGTCGGAGATTGAAGAGCCTGAGGATGCGCACAAGTTTGGATTGCTAAATTAAACAAAAATAGGCTGATGAGCCGCGTGGAGTGCAAGTTCGGGTTGCACCGCCGCAGGCACACGTAGCAGGAGAACCTTGCTGCAGAGTTTTCACTTGTGATTGGCGGATTTTCTAACAAAGTGAACAATTAGAGAACGTAGCCTGAGCTCCGTGCAGGTATTGCGCAAAGTGGCTTTGCCCAGGTGGGCCCTTCTCAAGTGAAACACAGAATTTGAAGCTCTAAGACAACTGGCAAATCCTATTGTCTTCTGCCTGTAGCTTGCCCATTGAAGCCGGACAGCTGTTCGGGCAGAAGTCGCATTTCGTCATCGGGTCGCCGGCGTTGATGTTGTGCCTGCCGCAATGTATTTATAGAAAACCAGCAGTAGACACAACAACTATGAGTGCCCGGCCAGAGCGTGTCCTTCTCGTGGCGATAGTTTTCGATGACTATCTCCTGAGAGAACATGCACACAAAAAAAGCCATTATTTTCTGCAGCCGATTGCTATGGCCTTCTTCCATCCGAATTTCACCTTCCGAGTCTTCTTTTTCACCGCAGACTCAGCCTCCAAAACAACAAACTGCGTGTTATGCTTTCAACTTAGCGAAAGAGCTTGCTTGCTTCTCAAGCCTCTGCCCGTGCTTTGGCTTCGCGGTCTTGGTCCTGCTTTTCCTGAATCGCAAGGAGGGCAAACCCACGTAACTGATCCGTGATAGGTAGTCCCTAAAAGGCTGAGAAACCCGCCATAGCTCTCACATTCTTGTGTAACTTCTTGGACGGAGAGCAGTGTTTCATTCCCACGGTGCCTCCAAATGAAACATGTGGTTATGCTACAATCTGCACAGGCTGAACAGACAAAGCCGACCTTGAGCAGCGAGAAAGAAAACCAGGGTCAGCTCTGCGGCGAGGAAAACTTGAGAGAAAAAACACACACATGCACGCTCTTGCACATAACATGGAGTGCAGGCGCAAGCTAGCACATGCCATGTCACCGACGCGGCGAATTATTTGGATACATAGATTGTCAGGTTCTGTTCATCTGCTGCTCCTCGCTTCTGCCTGAAATCCTAAAACCAAAGTTCCCTGGAGCGCTCAACGCCAGAAGTCCCACTGGAGCGCCCAACGCTAGAAGTCCCCCTGGAGTGCCCAACGCCAGAAGTCTCACTGGAATGCCCAACGCCAGAATCTCTCTGGAGCGGAGAGAAAAAAATGCTCTCCGCAATCGGGCCATGTCTGTGTGCTTCGATCCTCACGAGGCCTTCGAGCATATTCAGCACAGCTCCTGCGTCATCTTACCTTAAACCAAAAACCCCACCCTAAACCTTAAAGGGTTAGGGTGTTAGGGAGGGGTTTAGGGTTTCGCTCCTGTTCATGGCCGCACCCCTTGCGATTTGTGACTTGGTGAGCTCTTTGTTCCCACAACTTAAGGGGGACACCCCGTGCGATTTGTGATTTGGTGAGCTTTGTGTTCTTTAAACTTAAGGGGAACACCCCTTGCGATTGGTGATTTCGCGAGCATTGTGTTTCCAAAACTTAAGGGTGACACCCCTTGCGATTTAGTGAGCTTTGTGTTCCAAAAACTTAAGGGGGACATCCCTTGCGATTTGTGATTTCGGTAGCTTTCTGTTCCAAAAGCTTAAAGGGGACATCCCTTGCGATTTATGCTTTCGTGAGCTCTTTGTTCAAAAAATTTGAGGGGGACACCCCTTGCGATTTGTGATTTTTTTTTGAGCTTTGTGTTCCGCAAACTTAAGGGGAACGCTATTTGCGATTCGTGATTTCGTGAGCTCTTTGTTCCCAAAACTTAAAGGGGGACACCCCTTGCGATTTATGATTTTGTGAGCTTTTTGCTACAACAAAAATGTAGATAATCAGAAAAACATAAGAAACAAGACACGGTGGACCGATAACAGTACCACCGCGTCTTAAACAACAGGAGTTGGCGAGATGAAATGAACACAGGAAGAAGGGGGAGACGGTGGACCGATAACAGTGCCACCGTGTTCAGGGACCGATAACAGTACCCTGCTTTCCCGGAGACCGATAGCAGTACTCCGGGTTGATGCACAACTGGCTTCACTCTAAGATCAGCGCATTTGATGATGAATTTCAGGGCGAGTCCTCACCTCAAGTGAATTCAACCAAAACTAATTGAGGCCAATTACATTAGTTAAATTAATTAAATCCGAAAATCGAGTTTTCGGATTTATTTAATGTAATTGATTTAATTAATTTAAATAACCAAGGGCCAGGGACAAGGATCCGGTATTTCCGACCATTTAAATTAACCTATATAATTTAATTAAATTAATTTAATTAATTAAAATAATTAAATTAATTAAGTTAATTCAATTCAAAGATGGCTCGTCACTTTTGCTCTGCTGCTAACAAGTATCCCGAGTGCGCAGGCGAGCTGCTTTGCATGATCGCCGAACTTGGCAGACTGCACAAACGTCGAAAGGAGCAGGAGGTAGGCTCTCAGGCCCATCTTCAAACACTGGAGCTCCATTCCGGGCGGGCTGGGTGGGCCCCAAAAGCTACAAGCAACAGGCATCGCTTCTTCACAATCTTTAGCAAGCCAAAGATGGCTCGTCACTTTTGCTCTGCTGCTAACAAGTATCCCGAGTGCGCAGGCGAGCTGCTTTGCATGATCGCCGAACTTGGCAGACTGCACAAACGTCGAAAGGAGCAGGAGGTAGGCTCTCAGGCCCATCTTCAAACACTGGAGCTCCATTCCAATCATGTTACGTAGCTGTCGCCGCTCGCAGAGCCAGAACAGCGAGCCCTAGGGGCTTTCAGAAAGCAGTCAAGAACAGCTTCAGAGAAAGAAGCCAGGCGCATGACCTGGAGCCGCTGACTCTGTGTCAGCTTTGCGAGCAATAATTGCCCGGCTACGTCCTGTAGGTAATACTCAAGCGTCTTGCGTTGTTGCCACCGGCCACGCCACTGAATCTTTTCAACGTCTTCTGTTCTTTGATAGAGCCATGTCGCTCCTGAGCCTCGCAAAGTTTTCGGAGTGACACCCTTATCAGCTTCAGAGGTGGCCACATGCAGGTGGGAGAAGACGGCATTCCAACGGGTACGATGCACTTCACGTGAGCAGTTGAAGAGGGAAGCGCCGGGAGGTAGATGCCCGAAAAGCGCATCCAGAAACATTGCCGTCTTGTGATCAGAGATGCGAGCATGTTGCCGACGCATAAAGCGCCGAGTCTTGCCGTCCGTAATGCGTACAAATGCCAGCTGGGTCGCGGTGAGCAAGTCCCTGGGCAGGATCAGCTCTTCCCTGGTCAAGTACAGAAACTCGCCTGGCCTGAGGAGGCCATGAAAACCCAGCAGTAAAGTAGCAGCGAAAAGCGGCCAACCCCACATCAAAGAAACTGTGACAGCTGCTCTGATCATCGCCTCCGGCATCACCATGGACCTCTCTGTTGGCTCCTCTTCCTCCCACCTGGAGAGGATATTCCACGCCGACGCCAAAGATGCTTTGAAGTGCCGATAGCGATCCACCACCGCATTTAGGGTTTCAGAGAAAACATACTTAGGATAACCCTCATAGAAAAGATACTTGCCGAAAGCAATCAGCGTAGTGCAGAGTAGCAGCCCAGAGCTTGCGAGCTGAGAAAAAGTGCACTGGAACTGGTCCTCGCTCCATTGCTGAAAAGAGTCAAACAGACCAGCTCGTCTGTTCTTCACAACCGAGGTTAAACCGGAATCAAAGTCCAGCGTAACCCGGCTGCGTGCTTCAAGTCTAGAGGGCGCACGCCGAGGCATGCTCTCTCTTGTAGAGCTGCAGAACCGTCAACCGGGCCCACAACCCCGCTGGTCCCAAGATGTCGTCAGTAATCTTGACCAAATCGAGAATGCGCTTTGAGCCACTGAGCAGTTGCTTTAACCAAAAGGGCTGAACTTCCAAGCGCTCCCTGAGCTGTTTCAAGCGCGAGGGATCGTCAGCCACATTATCATCGGTGCCGACATGGAAAAGACTCGGATAAAGCCCTGCACCCAGAATATGTGGAAGAACTGTTGACAAATAGAAGTTAAGCTTCTGACTGCTTGACCTGCCCTTCGAGTTGCAACCGATAGTGACTCGACTATCCAGCAAGGCCCCAAAACGAGAATTCGGTTCGGTTTTTGCAAGGTGTTTGAGCAGGCTTCGGAAAGAAAGCTCCTCGTTGACATTGATGTGGTTCACACGCTTGAAACGATATTGCAAGAGAACTTTCCATTGAAGCGTCAGGCTCAAATCTGCAATCCACCTTGGGGGTTTGTGAGCTGGGCGTCGGGTTGTAGAGGGCTTAGGGTGCTTGAGATCCTCAATGCACGGCGCAAGTAGTCGGCAAAGGTGTCTGAGCGCAGGGATGGGACATATGCCTGACATTTTGCAGACTGCTTCACCTGCTTTAGGGATGCGACCGAAGACCGTCACGCAGTCGGGTTTGCAATGCGCACAGAACTCTTTGACACTCTCATGGGTGAAAGTCCTTTCAATCCGCAGATGCCCTGCTTGAGCGCCACAACCACAGCCGCCGCACATCTCAGAAACTTCGGAACGATTGCAAAGCCAGTGTGATGGTTTCTTGTAGGGGGTGCCGTACGTGCAATAACAAAATTTCACATCAACAAAACCTCTCAACCGAAGTCTTTGGAAGCAGTCAAGTCGATACATGACAGACCCCAGAGGAGTTTCGCTGGTGGAAATTAGGCCATAGGCAGCGCACAGATGCATAATCAAGGCTGCCCTCATGGCGAGCAATGCGCCGCCCCGAGTGATGGGCTCGTCTGGGTCAAAACCGAAAGGCTGCACCTTGCTCCTCAACCGTGGTCTACGCATAGTTCCGAAAGTAGCGCATGGAAGCCCCAAATGAAAATAGCAAATCACCCGTCTGCAAATCAAACCGATAATAAGCTGCATCGTAGAGTTGAGAAGCAAATCACCATGAGGTCCGTCATTCATGTCGAACCCCGGATGGCAGGTGAACCCCTGTTCCTTGAAAGTGCTCGTCAAAGTGCCCTCACCCCTAAAAACTTCACAAACGTCGAACAGAAACCCTTCTGCCATTGAACGTGGAACTGGGCCCAGATCATCCGGCTGCAAAAGCTCGGTGCCGAAAGCATTGTCGAGGTAGGCTGCCAGCTGAGGTTGAAGATTTGTATGAAAACCCTTATGGTCAGCATGGCGCAATAATTCCAAGGTCGCTTCGGCTCCTATATGGCTTTGGCAGACCCCGGCTCCAAAAGGCGAAGCATCCGAGCAGAAAAGTTTTGAGAGGGGCTTCGCCCTCAGGTCCGTCGTCATGCAAGGTGCAAAAAGGATAAGTAGCATCAGCTCCTGCTTTGCATCATGAGAAAGGGCGAAAATCTCACCGCGGGCATGTTGCGCAATGTCATGGAAAACCTGACTCATGAGACACATGGTTGGCCGGCGAAACATGACGACAAAAATCCATGATCCTATGATGCTCTGCAGAAGCTCGGTGGTCGTGAACCCCAGCAGCACCAGCTCCAAAGTCAAAGCACATAATGCAACAGTCTTCAATCTTGGTGCACAAATATCACCCCGGATCCCGTCTATCTCGCCCCCCAGGATGGTAGCTTTATAAGCGTTACGAACGGCCTTCTTTGGTGATGTTCTGAGGTTCACCGACGCATACTGCTTACAGCCCGTGCAAAGATCTTCTGATCGGCTCGGGAGGGAGGAGGCTCTTTGGAAACAGCTTTACGAGGTACTCGCAGAAGATATGCATGGTCATCGATACATAGCAGCTCGTACCCAGGGCCTCGGGGAACTGGATGTTTGTAAGCTACTTGTTCAGAGGGTCTAAGACAACCAGCACGTTGAAGGAGCACTGTATGTACGTGTTGTGCTGTTTCAACAGCAAAGTTTGTCCCCATGGCAATTGAATCCTATTCCCGAGAATTCTAGGAGCTTTTCGGTGTCTGACGCTACGCTGTCGCTTGCGCACTCCAGTTTGCTATGCCAGATGTTTCTTCCTGAGACAGAGAACCTGGTGATGGGATCAGATGACCTTAAGGATTTTTATCACAACTTCATTGTCAGCGATGCCCACGCAGCCCGGAACCACATTCACGGAGTCTTCCCAGGTTCGCTGTTTCGAGGGTGGAGAGCGTATCGGCCGGAGTTGGACAATGTTCCTGTGGTGGGGTGCTTTCGCACCCTTATCTGGCGGTCAACCCTGTCATCCTTGTACACAGCAAACAAACCGCAACGACATCTATGTTCAGACTGCGAGGCTGGGAGCAGATACAAAGAGTCCACTAGGTCCCACTTTTTGTAAAGGGCCAGCTGATCATCACGGTCGGCTTGCACTCGGGCTAGCTTCGTTTTTGGCCAGCAGGTTTCGGGCTTCAGGAAGGCTCTTGGGTCTGCGAAGCCACTCTTAAGGAGAGGGTCAACTAGGAACCGAGAAGCATCAAACTGGGGGGCCACCTCGAAAACCAATCTGTCAGGCTTGATGCGCAGGCTGCTGGTAGAGGAGGATTTTCCAGATTGAAGCGGGCCATACCCGATCCCTGCTTGCCTTTCTGGATTGAACGAAGCAATGCTGTTCACCTCACCTTTCGAAGTGGGGCGTTCGCTGGAGTCGGCATTAGATCTTCGAGTTTGGCACTTGCTTGGCTTACTGTACGGAGAAAATTGGGACTGTAAGTGGTGGCTTTGCTGTAAAAGTGACTGTAACTGTTCTTCCATGCTGCCAAACTTCTGGACTGCACGTTCAAGTCCGCGTCTGGGGCCTGTGCCCAGGCGGAGCCAAACCATGACCTGCCTCTCAAGGCGAGCAAGCATTGCAGTTTGCACCGCACTGAGGGGCGGCAAGGCTGCAGGATGCATCTCTGTTCGTCCCAGAGCCAGCCAGTTTCCCGCTGCAACCAAGTGGCGGGTCCACAGCCTGCAAAGGTTTCGAAGATGCCACCGCGCCTTGCGCCTGCCAACCAGCCGTCTGTCGGGAGAAGGCTGAAGAGGCGGAAGATTGCAAGGCCATAGTTCGGAAGGGCCATGCGAGGCAGAGCCCAAAGGAGGTAGAGCACATGCTTCACGAATGAATTCGGTGAGCCGGGTACGAGCTCCCGCCAAAAACTTGACCAGGTGCACACACAAAGTCGAAGCAGCGAGGGTGTCGTCCAGGCCTGGAGGAAAAAGGGATTCGAGACAAGGCAGCTGCCTTGTCAAGCGGTGCCATCGCCCGCGTTCTCCTTGCTTCCCCTGCCGCTGCGCTTGCCCTTGCCGCCTGGAGGCTCGTCGTGGTTGCTGGCGTGGTTCGGGTTCTTCGGGTGGTGCGCCTTGGCGGTCCTGTCCTGGATCAGGTCGACGTCCTTCAGGTACCCCAACTGCGTAGCCACCCATCTCGGATCTGACAGCATGCCGTGAGGCACCTCTGCTCGGGGAGCCTTCCTCTGTTCTACTATCGAGAACGGCGGGTCTTCGCGGCAAGTTAGGAGCCATGCCAGTCGAGTGTGTCCTTGCTCGTTCGCCACCTGCTCGCAGAAGATGAGTCCCAGAGAGATGAGAGCGCACACATCGGCCGATCGGTTTTGCTCGATCGCCTCCCAAGCGTCGCAGAGGAGAAAGGCCAGGTAGGTCAAGGTCTTGTAGTTGCCCAAGGGGACCGTCTCCTGGAAGTGCAGAAACATGTCTCGGGCCTCCAAGTCGACTGGCGATGCTTTGCGGCGAGCCTGAGCCAGGCGCTCCCTGACTTTCTGGTACACCCGCTCCGGGTGCTTCTGGAATTGCTCCTTCAATAGCTGCCTTGCAGCCATACCCCGCACCCCGGCCACCTTCGTCTCGTCGTCTCCGCCTCCGCCGCTCCCGCCTAGAAGGTGAAGAGGATCCGAAGACTTCGTGGCGGAGGCAGTGAGTTGGGACAGGATCTTGGTCTGCTGGACCAAAAGCTTGCTCAGGATCTGAGCGTCGGAACCTTCCGCCCTGCGCCCACGTCGTCTTTCTCCTCCTCGGCGTCCTCGGACCCAATGTCGAAGGTAGGGACGGCGAACGAGAGCTTCGGTTGAGGAGAAATCTTCGGAGTGGCCTGCAGCAAGCGGGGGGGAGCTCTTGATGGTCCTGGCAGATCTTGAAGGTTCTTGGGGCCCCGCCCGGCCAGCGCCAGCAGCTGCTTTAGCTGTTCTTGGTCCAGCCGCGCCTTGACGCCCTCGTTGAAGAGCTGCGGGGCCCATGTGGGCTGTTTCTCGCCCACACCGGCCCCCGCAGGAGGACCTTCCAAAAGAGACAGCCGTGCCTCGAGCTCGTCGAGGGAGTTCAGCCGGGACTGAATGCCGCTCAAGAGCTGAGCTTGTTGCTGGCCTTGGGCCAGAAGCTGCTGCAAGATACCTCCATCCATGGAAGGCGCTGATGTCAAAGGCACAGCGTCCAGTTCGGCCTCCGAAGCAGCCGTGTAGTACCCTTCCAAGCGCTCGACGGCCTCCACTGAAAGCTCTTCTCCGTTCAGAAAGGTTTCCAAAGCGGTTACGGCAGCAGAGCCCAGAACCCATGAAGATTGTAGTCTGTGAGTGCCGAAAGAAGTGACTTCTCCAACGTCGGGCAGAGCTGCGCTGAACATGTCTATGCCTGAAGCATGGAGGTCCACCAGCAAGCACGGCCAGCTCTTGGACGCCAGTTCCTTTCCGCTGGCAGTGACGGCTCGCAAAGCTACTTTTGTCCATGGCCCGAAGGCTCCTCCAGAGCTTCCGCCAGATCCTCTGGCGGGACAAGTCACGAAGGCTGCTGAATGCGCGAGAGACTGATGTCGGGTCCCAGGCTTCGCTGGGCTTGACGATGCGGAGGTAGGAGTCGGATGAAAAGGCATAGAAAGGCTCGGCCACTTGGGTCACCAGGTGGACCACTCGCCGCCCAGGAAGGGCTGGTTGCCGAAGGAGAGCACACGACGCACGATCCTGTCGGCGCAGCTTGGCGGATCGGCCTCCCAAACACGCTCTCAACTGCCGAGTCAAGGCACAGCGCCTCGGAAGGGGGCTCTGCAGGTTGAAGAAGCCCACAAGGAGGTAGTACCCGAGAAAGTCCTGGTTGTTGACGAGGCTGGGCGGCTGGGCACGAGGTTGAAGGATAAGGTGGTTCGATTGACAGCAACGTTCACGGTGATGTTCAGCTGCCCCACCAGTTCAGTGATCTGAGCAACCAAGTCCTGAGAGTCAGGCCCGGTGCTCGTGCACACCTCCTCGGTACCTCGCGAGGCGGTCTTGTGGTTGGGCTTCTCGGAGCTCGTGCGCGATGACGCCGAGGCAATTCCACAGAATGCTCCGGGCAACCCTGCTAGTGCAGAAGATGACAACCAAAGCCCCGCAGATGAAACCAGTCAGCCAACTAGCCAGGGAAAGCAGCACAAGGTCGGAGAAATTGCGCGGCGCACAACCTACCCAACCTAACAAGAGGCTCCACGGGTCGAGCCGCTCGAACATTCGAACCCCAAAAGCTACAAGCAACAGGCATCGCTTCTTCACAATCTTTAGCAAGCCAGTAAATTACTTAAATTAATTAAATTAATTAAATTAATTTAATTAATTAAATTAATTAAATTAATTAAATTAATTAAATTAATTAAATTAATTAAATTAATTAAATAAATTAAATTCATTAAATTAATTAAATCAAATAAAATAAAGTAATTAAATTAATTAAATTAATTAAATTAATTAAATCGGGAAACTGGATTTCCGGATTTAATTAATTTAATTAATTTAATTAATTTAATTAATTTAATTAATTTAATTAATTTAATTGAAGAATGGCTTCAGGCCAGAATCCAGGATTTCCGACCAATTAAATTAATTTAATTAATTTAAATAATTTTATTAATTTAATTTATCTAATTGAGGCCAATTAAATTAGTTAAATTAATTAAATTGGGAAATCCAGTTTACCGAATTAATTAATTTAATTAATTTAATTGAGGCCAATTAAATTAATTAAATTAATTAAATTAATTAAATTAATTAAATTAATTAAATTAATTAAATTAATTAAATTAATTAAATTAATTAAATTAATTAAATTAATTTAATTGGTCGGAAATCCTGGTTTCAGGCCTCGAGCAATGTTTTAATTAAATTAATTAAATTAATTAAACTAATTAAATTAATTAAATCGGGAAACTGGATTTCCGGATTTTATTAATTTAATTAATTTAATTGAAGAATGGCTTCAGGCCAGAATCCAGGATTTCCGACCAATTAAATTAATTGAATTAATTTAATTAATTTAATTAATTTAATTAATTTAATTAATTTAATTAATCTAATTGAGGCCAATTAAATTAATTAAATTAATTAAATTGGGAAATCCAGTTTCCCGAATTAATTAATTTAACTAATTTAATTGAGGCCAATTAAATTAATTAAATTAATTAAATTAACTAATTAAATTAAAAATTAATTAATTTAATTAATTAAATTATTGAAATTAAATTAGTAAATATTAAATTAATTAACTTAATTAAATAATTAAATTAATTAAATTAATTATAATTAAATGAATTAAATTAATTAAATTAATTATAATTAAAATTAATTAAATTAATTAAATTAATTAAATTAATTAAATTAATTAAATTAATTAAATTAATTAAATTAATTCAATTAATTCAATTAATTCAATTAATTAAATTAATTGAATTAATTAAATTAATTAAATTAATTAAATTAATTAAATTAATTAAATTAATTAAATTAATTAAATTAATTAAAAATTAAATTAGTTAAATTAATTTAATTGGTCGGAAATCCTGGCTTCAGGCCTCGAGCAATGTTTTAATTAAATTAATTAAATTAATTCAATTAATTAAATCAGGAAACTGGATTTCCGGATTTAATTAATTTAATTAATTTAATTAATTTAATTAATTTAATTAATTTACTTAATTTAATTAATTTAATTAATTTAATTAATTAATTTAATTAATTTAATTAATTTAATTAATTTAATTAATTTAATTAATTTAATTAATTTAATTAATTTAATTAATTTAATTGAAGAATTTAATTAATTTAATTTAATTTTAAGTAATTGAATTGAAGAAGGTTCAGGCCCAGCGCTTTTCAGGCCTCGAGCAATGTTTTAATTGAATTAATTAAATTAGTTCAATTAATTAAATCAGGAAACTGGATTTCCGGATTTAATTAATTTAATTAATTTAATTAATTTAATTAATTTAATTAATTTAATTAATTTAATTAATTTAATTAATTTAATTAATTTAATTAATTTAATTAATTTAATTAATTCAATTAATTTAATTAATTTAATTAATTTATTTAATTTAATTGAAGAATGGCTTCAGGCCAGAATCCAGGATTTCCGACCAATTAAATTAATTAAATTAATTTAATTAATTTACTTAATTTAGTTAATTTAATTAATTTAATTAATTTAATTAATTTAATTAATTTAATTAATCTAATTAATCTAATTAATCTAATTAATCTAATTAATCTAATTGAGGCCAATTAAATTAATTAAATTAATTAAATTAGGAAATCCAGTTTCCCGAATTAATTAATTTAATTATTTTAATTGAGTCCAATTAAATTAATTACATTGTGGAATCCAATTTGTTAATTTAATCAATTTAATTAATTTAATTAAGGCAAATCAAATTTATTGAATTAATTAATTCCGAAAACCGAGTTTTCCGAATGAATTAATGAATTAATTAATTAATTAAATTAATTAAATCAATTAAATTAATATAATTAATTAAATTAATTAATTTATTTTTAAATTAATACAAGCAAAAAGAAACGCAAAATAGACCCTAAAGGGCTCTCTCTCATATATATATATATATATTCATATATATATATATATATAGAATATATATATATATATGTATACATATATATATATATATACATATATATATATAGAATATCCCAAAAGCCAACCTGGATTCTGGCGCCAGTCTCGGAACCAACGGCAACCCCAGGGCGCGCGCCCGCGGTTTGCCTCGCACCGCGCCTCTGCTTCCAGGTGCGCCTTGCCTTGCTGGCCCCAGATAAAGGGTTTAGGGTGTAGGGTTTAGGGTTTGAGGTTGAGGGTTGAGGGTTGAGGGTTTAGGGTTTGGGGTTTAGGGTTTACCAACTAGCTACCAAGTTGCTCAGCTTTCTCAGCCACTGCTTCTCCGTATCCGTACTGGCCTTCTCAACCAAACACTGCCCCATGGCTGCGGCATCTGCTTTTCTGAATTTCAGCTCTTCTTCGGTGACTTTGCCGAGATCCACATGGCAGATGTAAGCTTCGGCCGACATTCGGCCGTAGATGGCCGGGCACCAGCACTGGCCCGGTGTGTCTGGGTTCGTGCCGTGCACGCCCAGACCGGCCCCCCGATCTGTGAGAAAGACGCAGGCCAGTGAGAGCGGATTCTCCTTCATACTTGTAGCTGACACTGCCGCATCCCAATCGTGACTATATTTGCCTTCGCTGGTCTTGGATACCCCAAAAGCATGTCGTATGTGTATGTATATTTACACACGTATGTATATATACATACATACATATACGTACATACTGTGAAGTCGACCAGCACTGGACTTGCACTAAGCCAATGCAATCACAGCCCGGTCACGCTGTTTTACGACTTCGCGAGTTCAAGCACTTGTGCAGCTACGCCTGAGTGCGTCCGGTCGGACCGCACAGCAACCTAAGAGCTACTGTACGACTCTACCGTGCTCAAAGGCACAAGCTCGGTACTTGAGCCAAAATTGGCATTGAAACGAATTGCAAACCTACACATGCAAAGAAGACTACAGTACTGGTCCTGGCAGCTCTGCACATGCAACGTGCGTGCTTAGACCTGCTCACATTCGCCCCTCAGCCGAGGCTTCCAGCTCATCTCGAGCTCGGAGTGCAGCAGGCACTCGCGCTGAACACAGAAAGGGAAGGGAGAGGGTGTCGCGTGCGACCGCGGTGGTCCGCACATCATGAGCATTGGCATGCGGCAGGGACGCTAGCCCGCACCACCACAACGAACGCACGACGACGGCAACCCTCAGCAACCCTTAATCACCCTTTCCCAGGAGGTCCTCACCCTTTTGCTGGTGGGCGAGGCTCTTGAATCCTCGAGCTGGTCTCTAGCTGCCAGTACGCAGACTATGGTACAAATGGTACACTGTACACTACCGGTCCTAAGCTACGGCTACGGCTACTCACCTATCCGGAACTACCCTACGGGCTACCAGACTCAGTGAGAGCCGCGCACATGGCTCGTGCCGCGGGCAATGCAACTCACACGCGCTTCGGCGAGCGCATTGCCGCGACCAGGACACGGTCCGCAGCACCCGCAAAATAGCACCCTCGGCACGAGGGGCCACAGGCAGGGCGAAGGAGAAAGGTGCGGGGAAGCAAAATGGGCAGGTTTCCAACCTGCCGCGGCTTTTCGCCCGCAGTCAAGCAAAAGAAAGTGCAAAAGGTTGGCGAAGCAACGTGCCGTGCTGCAACGCCTGCTCTGATAATGCGTGGATGCATACCACGCCGTGCCAACTGGCCGCAGCCTACTCGATACCCCGTGGAGCAGTGTTAGGGGCACGAGTGGCGTTGCCAGCAACGTTGGAGCTACTGGCTCGCTCCAACTGAGGGCGCTTTGCAACCGCCTCATCGAGGGAGAATGCCTCAGCCGACACCCTCTGGAAATCCTCGATGTAGGACTGCGCGACCGGGTGCGTCTTGGGGACCTCAAGCTTAAGCCCTGCCTCCGCATTGGCTTTGCTGCTTGTGGTAAAATTGAGGCTCCCAATCAGCACCACCGCGCCATCAGGCCGCAGTAGGCAAAGGGCCTTGGCATGGCGCAGCCCTTGAATCCCGGTGCCTACCTTAGCCCCGCGGCCGTCGCGAGCATAGGCGTCGCGCACGGATGTGCCACAACCCACCTTCACCTCGGCACCTGCAGCCGCCAAGCGTTTCAACGCTTGCCACTGAAGCTTGGTGCGGTGGCGTTGTCCCATGTCGGCGACAATCCGAACGCTCGCGCCCTTGCCAAGCGACGCTTCGATTGCCTCGATGCAGGATGGGCAATCTAAGCTGTACGCCCGGATGTAGATCACATCCTCTGCTGCTCCAGACCCAAGCAGCGTTTGGGCGGCCTGAACGTATGGCCCGCCAGCAAGGAATTCCGCTTCTTTGACTGGAGAACTCCTAGCGGGGGCTGGGCCCTTGTTCCTCCGGCCTGGCGTGCGCGCCACAGTGGCAGTGGCGGCACGTTGCACGGAGCCGGACTGTGCGTGGGCTGCGCTCGCTCCATCTGCTGGGGCCGCGGCCAGGTCACGACCCGCGAGCCCCTGAAAGCAGGAGAGCCCGCGGCTCTTAGCCGCAAGTTGGGAGAAACATCCTTCACTGTTTCCCAAACCCAACACAACCTTACCCTTAGCCAGGGCTTCGGAGGCGGTACTCCGAATGGAGTCTGTGAGCG